CGATATTCGTGGAAGTAATTTATGTTCGTTACGAATTATGACGCCAGTTACAAAGGCTCGATACAGTCTTGCTAATGGATGACTTGCGCTTTGGACTAATGTTTGATTGAAGTAATCAGAAGAAAGTAAAATTAGTGTAAATGCAAAGTTTAGTTGCAATAGTTTTCAAAATGCGAAAAAAAAAGTCATGCGAAGTTGGCAATTTTTTTATCTTTTATTACGTGCGGAAATGATTACGTACTTTCGGCCGTAATACAAAAGTATGCAAAGTTTGCGAACTTCGCGTGGCTGTATTTTTAGTACTTAGCTAACGACATTTCGACGCCAAACCTAGCAGTTTTACTAATTTTGGTATGCTCTTTCAAGAGATATTCTTTTCATTGCCAAGATAAACCAGTCTATTAGGTGCTTCAGACTTAGTTGTTGAACGTAGCAAATTTTGTTTGTAATTTTTATTTAGTTGCTCCTCCTGAGCTGGTCCCAATTCCTTATGTTTTTGAGTCTAAGAAGAGCGAGGATGTGACGTCATCAGAAAATGATCTTCCCAACAATGAAGATTCAGAACAGACCGCTGATGGTCCCTCTGATCAAACACTGGCTCAGAAAGCAAACGCGGGAAATGCGCCGATACATGTAACATTGAGGTGTGGATTTTTTATGAAAGTCATATAATTGATTTAACTTGCAACATTCAGTTATTGAATGATTTAAAATACCTACCAAATGTGACCTCCTAATCCTAACGGAACATTACATGTTTGTTCAGATTACCAGCGGATGTATCGTATTTCGAACAACCTCAAGTAGCAAGATGGGAGGCCAGTAAGAACCATTGGAGACTGGATGGTCTTAGTGACATTCAGTTTAATGACCGTAAGTTTAATTATATAAATCGTTGCTACGCTCCACTTGAACTAATGTCTGTCTGTTAACCCTTGCAAATATTGCTTCAGTCATAATCTTAGATTTAAGGAACATTCAGCACCTGTTGGATTTGTAGTATGAATCAATAATAAACTTTTGATTTTTCTATTTTCTTCAAGAGACCAACATGTTGCGTTTCAAAACAAACCGTTTTGCACCTATCGCTATATTTCAGGTACAGTACTTCTGTTGCAATATTAGCAAATTTTCCGCCGACTACATTAAAACCCTAATCTTAACTTAGCACCTCTCATTTTAGCTTAGTAATTAAATTTAGTTCGATCCAATCAGGTCGAAGAATGAGGGCCGTAGCTAGACCGCTTAATTGAGGGGGGGTGCATGTTCATATATTTATGTTTACATACCGTAGGTACAATAAATAGCTTTTCATAGAAATCAGTCGGGCATAGGACGAATATATGAATATGGACTCCCATCCTCAATTAATATTCCAGCTACCGCCCTGCACAGAGCTTATGGCTAGCCGTATGTGTTACTTTTAACATAGGATTTGTATTTAAACATGCCATTTCAATCTTGGGAAATCCGTCCACATGGTCTCAATAGTTGCATCTTCACTATCGTGGCTGCTGCTATTGATCTGGAAATTGAAGTCAAGGTAAAAAAGAACTACTACTACTCGTTCACTAATTTGTCCCATCTTGAGCTTCGAAATTTACCGAAGAGGGGCTCTCCTGGAGAGGATGAAGCAATGAAATCGTAAAAAAAATTGTGACGGCATAATGTTAACCACTCATGACTGGGATAAATGAGAGTTGATAGATCATAACTCATAATTAATGTTATAAACTTTAATGTTATACATTTTTTAATAGGATCAAATTAATATTGCTGGAATAGTCTACTATAATATGCACACTGTAGTCAAATTTTGGTTAATAGTGTTTAAAGACTTCGTTTTTTCTCTCGTTCCATGCATTCATATTGCATTTTTGTGCACAGGATTCGTATTGTTGTGTGGCTCATGCCGAGGACTCCGTACAACGTTTACGACATTTGCGTGGTAAATGGATGAACCCCAAAGATCTCATAAAGGTATATCGTAAATAAATCTTTCAAACAAGAATACCAGTTTAATTAGAAAATGATCAATGGATACTTACACTTTGAGTGAGTTTTCCACCGATATGACACGTATACGATACGTGCATTGGCGTATTCCTTTATTTAAAGTCCCTTGTTCTAGGCACCCTGGTCGATGCGGTCACGTCATACTTTATACAATGTATACATAAATTAGTATGACGTAACCGTATTGACCGCGCTGCCTATGTTTCTACCCGACTGTTTAGGAGAGAAAGGTTCGATACGATTCTGCCTAATTTTTGTCCGTTGTTCAAGTTTTAAATACATTTTAAAAAGTTAAAAAGTTTAAAGAAACAATTGACGTACGTTTGAAATCTGTCTATTTTGTTTCAGAGATTGAAGGCTTCAGGCGTGAATGTGTTTCCTGCAGTTGACGCCGAAAAATATGTTAGCTTGAACATCAAGGTATACGACCTTTTGGGGCCAATCTCAATCTCGTGCTAGTGATCGACTTTTGACACGTTTTCCAAATATTAGGAATCGACGCTTGAAAAGAATATTTATGAACAGATATCTCTGACCGCATCAGCTTTTGCATATTCCTGGAGTCGTTGGAATTCGGATTGTGGAAAAGAGAAGATCATAGTCCAGGCAACGGAACAGGAGGCCGATGAACCACCGTTGGAGGTGAGTGCAAAAAGTTTGTTATTTCTAGACCCATTGTTGATATATGCCACACTCTTCATAAGTACGAGAAAATTGGGAGAATCTCGCACCCTAAACCATGCTCATTTTATCCAGAGCCTACTTCATAACAATTTGTATCGTTCATAAAGATACAGTAATAGATTTATTTAACAGCAGGTAAAGTGTTGCAGCTAGTACGTGGTTAAGACGATTTTCGTGTATCTTTAGGAGGATTGGTTTATCTACATGGCGAGTAATGAAAATTCATGTAAATTGAAATTGAGTGAATTTGATGAGACGTTTTCTGATGACGTCGCTGAAAATACAAAGGTACAAAATATAAATTTTGTGAAAAATTTAAAGAATTACATGGGATTATCATCCTTAACCAATAAAATGGGGAATTTGTTGGAGGGAAATTTAAATTAGCTTGTAGGTACACCACTTAAGTTTTTAACACTGCAAAGCTTTCGGTTCGTTAACCCGGGCTTTCATCAGTGCAATATGAAGGCCCGGGTTAACGAACCGAAAGCTTTGCAGTATTAATAAAATACTTACGTGGTGTACCTTACTTATTGATGTCACCATTAGAAATTTACTACTTTAAAGGAAAATGTGAACTTCTCGCGTAGTGTCGCAGCTCCTCTCAAGAATGATTTTCATTGGCTGAACTTTACAATACATTTCTGTTTCAACCAATAGCATAGCTTCGTTCTTTAGAAAGCATAGAAAAGCATTATCCAATTGGACGAAAGCTTCCGAGCACTGCGACATGTCCCAACTTCTCTACTTCTCTCTTGTTCTCTTTAAGGACTTTTGCTTAACTGAAATGTGAACTTGTTTAGGAGATAGGTATCTTAAAAACCTGAAAACTTATAGCAATTTTGCTTTTATTCACAATGAACGATAATGGTTATTTGTTGTGAAGTTCATGAATAATTAATGAGGTTATGCCCAACCAAATTTCGTGAATTAGGTCACATGTACACCCTGTATACAAATTAGTTTAAATAGATATGCAAATCAGTTACAAACATAAAATAGTTGTATCAGAAAAATACAAATGACTGATTTGCATATCTATTGAAATCTTATTTATTACAAATTCCTTTCACAACTTCTTTGTTGCATATTCAATACAACACGGCTGCGAGTGTTGTAAACATTACGAATCAAAAACTCTCTTACAGCTATGTATATAGTCTACTGTGATCTGTAATGCACTGTTATACAAACTTCTGTTCATTTGTTTCATTTCTATCTATATAGCTCCATGCTGATCTTTATCATATGGTTATGGATGGTGCCTCGCAGTCCGCAGTTAGTAAAGTGAAAGGAACATCATTTCAGTTCTTCAACTGCGTATCACAACTACTTAATGCTACTAAAGTACTTACATACTCTTGACAATTTCATATAAATATGTTTTATCTTCTCTGTAAATATTGTGCAAAGGCTTTGCCAACAAATTTGATAAAATAAAATAGTTAGATGAGCATGCAGAATCTCATTTTACCATTGTTTCACATTTTCGTCAAGAGGCTAACCCGAGATATCCGAAAAGCTCAGGCATTTTCAGTTAGGATCCAAGGTTAATTCATATTCTAAAATATTAATGCTTGTGATAAGTGGGCAATTCTGCTTGCATTGATTTTATAACCTTTCATCCACTACACTGCGCAATGGAAGGCAAATTTAAATTGTCCATGTCTGCGTGGTTTTCGAAAGAACAGAGCAGTTATATTCATATAGTTATATAAATTTGTTAAGTTGCTTGTAGAAAGACGATGTTTTCCACATTAAAGTTTGTTTGGTTTTGACGTCTGCCTGGAGAAAGCGGTACTAACCTTCATGCAGGGGCCGTCGTAACCTTTTTATTTTGGTGTATTTAACAACTATAAACTATAAACACAATAATTGATTATACAACTTTCTTGATCTGAATAATGGGTTAATCTTCTTTTCTTCATGCAGACAGCCTGGGAGAAACAAACAACTAAAATGTTCTTTTCCAATCACGTATGTTACTCGACATGCAACAACCTTAGTCCCCTCGCTTGAAATTCACCAACTTTTTGTGGAATTCAACACAAATTTCCTGAAAAGCAGCGTTTATTCTTCTGGTATCATGTATATGTACATATCATAAAAACACTTTTGAACTGTATACAAATGATGCATGACTATAGTTTGAAACGATATATTTTCAGTTAAAAAATTATAAACTTTTTTATTCGATTACTTTTACCAAATTAATTATTAACCAAAATAACATACAATAATTATTTAAATGTTTTTAACGAGATCTTACGAATACATTTTAGAAGAATTAAACAATTGCAGTATTCGTCCAACGTCTATACATGGGCCAACATAGTTTGAAGAGATTTTCTGACATTCGATAACTCTTGCTGTTGCTAAAATGAGAGCGGTAATAATTATTGATTGCAATATTACACGCATTTATTAAAATTGTATCCAATGAAAAGTACTCACAGTTTCCTTCATAATTTTTTTTTGCAACTGTGACATGTCCTTCTTCAACTCCCCTTGCACGTTGCTTTGTTGTTCACAATGACAATTTTCCAAGTCTTCAAAACTCTTCATAAGTGTATTAGTTATTTGAATGAGCGTTTTGATGCGCTGAGTTTGAATTATTCGGTGTTGGTGCACGCCATTCAATATTTCCTGGAACCCTTTCTAGAAAATTTGGATGAATATTGTACGATTCATAAATTTTGTAATATCGTCACAAATGTTTGGATTCTGGTTCATTGACTCACCTGATAGGGACAGGGCTGGGGGTTGTTTGGCATTTAGACGCGGTCAGACAAACTTTAAGCCACCTGGAATTTACTAGCTTTCGCGTGTATCGACAAAAACATTCATGGAGTTAATAGACCTTTTCGGTAAAATTTTACGTCACAGCATTATCGTTTTAAATTTAGAGCTACCTTAAATTTAAATTTAGAGCCACCTTAAATGAGATGGATTTCAAGTTTTACTCACAAGCTATGTGCAAAGATGCAAAACATCCTTGTACAACCCGTGCATGCATGAAAATTTTTTTCATTTTGACTAATAAGTATGGAAATAAGCTATAACGCGGAAACGAGGCTCGCGGTCTTGGCACCTCAGCCTCGTTCTCGTGTTATGGGTTATTTCCACATTTATCGGTCAAAACAAAAAAAATTCACGCATGTGTTGAAGAAGGATGCTTTGCATCTTTGCACGTGGTTCGTGAGGGTAAAACTTGAAATCCATTTCATTTTAGGTGGTTCTAAATTTAAAAGTTAAGATGTTAAAATGTTGTGACGTAATTCCTGAGAAGGTCTATTACAAAAAATCACTAGTCTGCACTAACTAGCAAAAGACAATGCCTTTCTCGTAGGAGCATGTTAAGAAATTCAGAAACAAATAATTCAAAATCAATTGCCTAATTTAGCTTTGCAGGAAAGTAGTTTTGAAAAATATTGCGTACATTATTAGCAATTTACAACACGGATCCGATCATATTTGCGGGAAGTGGTGAACGATGATGTAACTTAACACCATGGAGACACTATAAAAGTGCGATAAAGTTTGAAATAAGAATTCTCCAATGCCATGGCCAAACGTCGTGCGCTGAAGGTATTAAAAACGTAAAATAGCTGAGACGACTGCTTCCTGTATATACTGTGTTAATAACGTTGGCCTAATATACTATAGTTTCATGCATGCCGGAAGTTTATATAACCACGCTGGCCACATGAAATATGCATGTGGTTGTTGGCGATGTAAGATATTCCAAAAGATTAGTTAAAATCCATTCTGATAATACTTCAAATATGAAGAGTAATAACGTGTACCTCCCACTCTTTCTCTTTTTCATTGATAGTCACAACATCCGCGTCACATTGATGCGTGACAGAATTTATAGAATTTGAAAACTCCTCCAGAAGTTTTGATCTGGAAAACATTATATATAATTATGTAGTTAATACTGCGTGTCGCAAAAACAAATTTAGTAAAAATCAAACAGAGCTTTCTTGCATCATACTTGGCTGAACAATAACGTATAAATATTTAATACATAGAATGGAAGATGATTCATTTTAAACTTGTTTGAATGTAATGCCTGGTTACAATGCCAATGTCACGTCAATTCTACGGACCCATGGTTTTGACATAATAGGAAGGGGTTCGAATCCCATAATGCCACATGCCCTTTGAATAGGAAACATTCATGCAAAGATTTATATTGTTCATCGGCATGCTGCCACCTTTTTATCAAATTGTCAGTTTAAAGGTGATGTTATTCATAATCTCAGTCTATGAGGATATAGTATAGCTGGATTAATAATCTCAGTCTTAGATGAGCCATTCCAAAAGTTCAGTAAATGAGGAAACTAGTGCAGGTGCCCGGACCAAGACCACTACTTAGGCCCGATTTTTGGACCAGGAACTGGTCCCTAACCGCTGCTAATCTTGTTGTTGTTGTTGTTGTTAGGGGGCGACGCTCTTTAAAAAAACCCTAAAGGCGGATTTCCACTTACAGCGAAATCGTTCGCCAGCGAAATATTTGCATATTTTCTTTTGAATTTTAACAGCATAAATAAATTAGTTCGACTTGACTGTTCTCAATTCAAAAGAAAATATGCAAATATTTCGCTAGCGAACGATTTCGCTGTAAGTGGAAATCCGCCTTAAGGCTCTTTCATTACTTGTTTGATCGGAATGAAACTTGGCACAATTATTCTAAGCATTATTCCGCATCGATTGACGGAGTTCGAATTTTTACTTTTGACCTTTGAAGCAAGTTACAAGCAATTCTTGATATATTTGCAGCAAATAATATTAAGAACTTACTGACTGAGAGTGAGGTCTGTACGGTAAAATATCAAACCGAGGTCGTGCCGTATTGACCGAGCGATAGCGAGGTCAATACACGAAGACCGAGGTTTGATATTTTACCGTACAGACCGAGCAGTCGAAGTTAGTAAGTTTTTTATTATATGGCATAATTCATGCAGACATTGTAATGATTAATTCTTTATAAGTAATTTTAATGATCAATCTCATCCGGGCACACGACACCAAAACATCGGCCTAAAGTGAAAAAAACCGCTCTCTTTTGTAAAATATAAATTTATTATTTTTATTTCAAATTCATTATTTTCCGTTTAAGAATTTAATCTGTTTTTCAGTTTAGATTTAGTTAGTTTTTGCCGTGAGTTTTGCCTTGTTTTCACAGGGCAATAAGAATTGCGTATTGCCCGTGGGCAATACGGGGAAATCCGGACCTGTCAGCAGCCAATCAAATTGCAGAATTAACCAAAACAAGCGCTTGCCATATAATAAATATACATATTATTAATATTCAGCCTATATATAAGTAAACGGAAACGATTAGAAATGCATTGTCTTCTCCATTGTTATAAATACAATGCAGTTCAGAAATTAAACTCGGTTACGCAGTTCCTGGTCCCTATAGTACGATCGTACTTGTTGAGAAGAGAGTTAAGATAAATTTATAGAATCGGTAATCTAATAAAAATATTTTTTACTCTTAATTTACAATCTTGAACACCGGCATTGCGCGTTTTATCATATTCGGTTTGTGCATGCAGAGTAGAAAACACTTCACATGATTTGACAAATATAATTCGACATAGGCCGGCAAACCTGTCTAGTCTCTGTTTCTTCCAAATTTCACCAACTTTTTTGTCAGTTGTCTTGAGTGCTCCGGTGGTAAACTTATGAACATTCTTCTCCTTGTTTGCCATGTTCTTACGGATGTCAGCTATAGGTCATGCATAAAATCACTCACCCTCTCACAAAAACGTTTCAGGATACATAGTCTGTCATAAAGTGCCCCTTTAAGTACTTACCACCAAAGCTGGCCAGCAGGTTTTGCATTTCTATCTCACTACTAGAGGAACAAATCAAAATGGTAATTTGAGACATGCGCGAATTTGCCGCTATTCTAATACAATGCATGAAGCGAAAAAAATACTTGAAAGTCAATCTGTAAAAGTTGCCCTGTTAAAAACAGACTGTTGAAACAGATAATTTGAAACTGCTTGTCTCAGATTCATCTCTTTTTGATCAATCAAAAAGATGGGTAGCCATGAGGTTCCCCAATAATGTAATATGTAAGATATATAATATATGAGATAGTAGTTGCTTTAATTTCAAATTTTGACTTGTGTCTATTATAACAAGGCAGCCATCTTTAATTGCGAAATCTCTCAATGTCATGAATTTCTGGTGAAGTAATTTATACCCCTTCAATTAAATGATTGAAAAAGGTTGTTGCCCGCAAATATCCTAAACAAAATACATAACCTTTCTTTTGTCGCCTCATCTCGTTCTTCTTCCTCCGTTATATCGTCAAAATCAAAAGGCCTTTTCTTTCCTCTGTTACCACCACGTTCCGTATCTAAAAGTATGTATCTAAATTGGCGATGGAATTCGTATAAAACATGTTTAATAACCAGCCATTTAGGCCCAGTTGTATATACAGCTAATTAACTCTAACTGTAGTTAAGGACAGAATTGGCCAATCAGAGTCGTGTATTTCTGAGTTAACTAGGATTTAACTATGTAAAAATAATGTAGTTAAAGAGTTTTATACAAACGGCCCAAGACTGTAGACTAGATCTAGCGTTCTGCCCGGTCTGATCGATTTTAGACACTTTAGGCAACCGTAACTTCTTCTGTAACTTTATTAGAAAATTTAGAAATTTGTACTATACAAACAATACCCCCAGGGTTGTCAAAGCAATATGTAACTGCGTTTAAAAATTGTGCTACGCCTATAGGGTTCGTCTTATCAGGAACTTTTGGGCAGGGTTGTACCTGGGGTTAATGAGCAATTTATTTTGCCTTGAGTTGATATAATATATATATAGATTATGAGCCCGGTTACCCGAAATTCAGCGAAGCGTGAGATGATTTTGAGGTATTGAAATGAGCAGATATGTGCTTGTTCGGTGTCATAAAGACTTAGACCCTGTCGTTTGAAAACGCATACATTTCGATGCGTTTAGGCCTTCCGTTCACACTAATACGCTCGAATACGCTCAGCGTATTCACCGAAAACGCATCGATTTGAATACGCTGTTGAAAGTGAATATATATACAATTGAAAACGCATACATATCGTATAAGTGTGAACACTTGAAGACGGTACTTTTGAAAACGATTACGTCACACGCATCGATTGCCAACAGCGATTGCCACTCATTTCAGGCATAATTCCAACCAAACATGGCGGACGAGCACGATATGGAGTTTCTCATGCTTCCAGCAAACATAATTGTTTGTTTGTAGTTAAATGTTGCGTTGTATAACGCCATGATGGCTTTACACCGAAGACAAATAGCTGTCTTACGAACATACATTTTATCTGGGCCTTCTCCAGGTCCAATTCGAGAAAAAAATCGGTCTTGCAGACCAACTAGAAGATTTAGGTATTTAGGGATAGAAATTATAAAGGAAGTGTGTACTGCCGAGCATGCGCAAATTACCGTTTTACGTCAGACTACGATCCGATCATCGTATTCAAGCGTTTTAGTGTAAACAGTCGAATACGCTACGAAAACGGTAGTGTGAACGCGAATCGATCGATGCGTTTTCGGTCTTACAAAACCGCATACAAACGAAAACGCACTAGTGTAGACAGGGCCTTATTTCAATACCTCAAAGTCCTCAAACGCTTCGTTGAATCTCGGGTAACCGGTCTCATGTAAACAGCCCCAAAGAGATTCTGAATGAATAAGGCACAAATAAATGGTCAGGAAAAAATTTAATTGCTATTGAAATTAACAAGACGTCTCCAGACAGTTTAGGTAAACTAAAAAATTAAATGTTTTGTTTTTGTTTTTATCAAATGCGTATCAGGCTAATAATACGAATTCATGCATTTCTTGTTTGTTTCAAGTGCAAATACATGACTTATGCCATATAAGAATTTTACCGAATTTTACCGAAATTTACCGAGAAATACCGGAACTCAATCTTTTTGCACAATTAACCTCACTCTTCGCAGTGGCGTCGCCAGCTTTATAAGTGGTGGGGACTTATTCATATATTCGTGTTTTACATTATTAATTTCTTTTCAAATTGATTGTTTTAACGGTCTGTAAACATGAATATATGAATATGTCCACCCCACTTATCCATGCTGGTGACGCCACTGACTCTTCGAGTTCGGTTTGTTCAAAAAGACCTCTGTCCGATATTTCTCGGCAAAGACCTCACGCTCGGTTAATAAGAAGTTACTAATACTGAACATTTTCCACTAAAGAACATCCTGTTTTAATAAAGTTATAAGACTTATACCTGCTGTATCAATAATGTCGATCATATCTCCATTGCTAGTTTCAAAGATTGGGTCTATGTCATCCAAAACCTTGGCCTTGGTTTTGGATGAAGAAGTCTTGCCCTTGCCTTTCTTTGCAACATATGGCATTTTCAAATCTTCTGGTACTAAATTAAACATAAAACCATTAAGATGTTAATTATTAACAGTCCACTAAACTGCTGTTGTGAACAGCCACACCTTACTTATAAAAATACGTGCTGCATTAAATATGCTTTATCCACCATGGAGAGGTCCAAGCTGTTTGCAATTTCATTAGTCTAGGGCAGTGAGGGCAGACTTTTAGAAAAGGTTACATATTGTGATTACTGATTATAGCATATAGCCCAAGTGTGTGTGGTACAATTGTATTGGTAATGGGGGCAGCTGCCTCTGCTTCCCCATGGTTTCAGCACCCTTCATAGTTCATTGCATGGTGTGTGCACACAGCTATAAATAGGTGGGGGTTGAAGGGTACATATCCCCCTGGGTTTTACTGTGGGGGACAAATATCAAATTATCTGCTGTATTTCACACTCATAAATATTTTCAAATTTTCCCAAATGTTCAAACAGTCAGATTGTAGGTGTTTTATTTTATAGTATTTTATATAGTTCATTGCAAATGTATAGTTGCACCAAATAAATTTCTCCTATTAACTAACTCAATTCCAAAACAAATGCTTGGAATAAAAATTATGAATAAGTTTATAAAATATTGCTGAAGCCTCAACTAATCAATATTGCTGATGGACAGTTTCAGTTAAATAATGACAGCATTAGTATAAATATACTACCTTATCAAGTGGATATTTTGAATATCAAGGACCATTGTTAATAAAAACTTGATACTGATAGCTACAAATTCAGGACTTAAATTCATTCAAAGTGTTCTTTTCGAAGTGCTTTGGAAGTCGTTCTCAAGTTTACCTGCTCTGCACTAGGGTTTCGATACATTTTAATTTCGTTATTCAACTATATTACATCGAAATAAAGTGTTTACTGCCATAAAAGGCCTCAAGAACAAACACAGAATAACTAGTAATAAATGAACACTAGTAAATATAACCGAAGGAAATTAAATATATCGAATCTTGCTTTCGGTATTTGTATTCTTAATTTCGAAAAATTCGGCCACCTTTAAAATTTAAAAAACAATTAACTTTATTTGCCCAAGCACAACTTACCTTGTCTTCAATAAAAACTGCAGAAAAAGGCAAAAATATCCAATGTTTCTTCCAGATTCTAAAAAGTGTTGAACCGTTCTCGATCTGTTTTCCGCAGTTTTCGGCGGGAAAAATTCAGCTTCCTGAGTGGTCAGTTTGTCCGCACAGCGAACCCAAGAAAACGGGCTGACCTTTGTTGCTTTCTTCATACATATACAATTACGCTCGGTTTTAGAAAGTTCAAATAACAAAAATTAGCAAATGCTACAAACTAAATTATAGTATAGCTTACTGATTACGATTATTTTGCCGCGGGCTGTCTGAAATTCATTTGAAATTAATCATATTCTTATCTAGGGCTCTTTATCAGGCTTTGTTTTTGTCTCGAAGGCAAGTACTTCATTTTACATTTCATTACGTTATCATTTTAATTAACAAAGTGGAATAATATCTAATTGTGCAATAATCACGACCGCCGGGATAGGAGGCAGGGGAGGATTTTTCCCCGGCCCCCGACCTAAAGGGGCCCCCGACTTTAACCGGCCCCCGAACCCGAAATTAAAGCACCTTAAAAAATGTTGGGCTCAGTGTACTATTACTACTGTACTATACTAGTGTGCTTTTCCATGTGTCATTGTTATTAAGTAGTTCACTTGTGATGCGTTTGGCTGTGTCTAGTGTGGTATGGATGTGAAAAGGGAAACTACATCAAATGATGTCATGATTTCGTCAGGTTCAAGGTTAAGGTCCTTAATATTATTTAGGAAGTCATTAGTGTTGTTAACAGTATGAGGTGATACTTTAACAAGAGGATGAAGAACCATAGCGAGATATTTGGATAACTCGTATGTTGGGGAGCCTGGAACAGACACGATAGGTCTTAGAGGGATGTTCTTTTTGGGTATTTTAGGTAGTCCATAAAACTTAGCGGTGGAGGCATCGTTTGGTCGGGTTCTGCTATACTTGCGTTCATCAAGCTTGCCTTTGTCTTCAAGTTGTTTTAATTTCTGGTTAATACGATTGACCGTCGTTTTGTTAGGGTCAGTGTTGATATGTTGCCGTGTCTTTTAGTAAAGTGTTTGCTACTTAGTACAAGACTACCCAGTGATGTTGTTATTATTTTATCAAACAATTACTTTATGGTTACAATCTTCACGCGCTTTTCTTAACGCTTGCAACATTCCCCCGTGTTTAGATCAGGCTATCCAAACACAGAAACCATTAAATATTTTTTAGTGTCGCGCAAGGCTTTACTGAGTTTAGAGATATGCATATAAGAGTATCTGTAAAAATAGGAATATCAATAGCATGACAGGGATTAATGAATGATTTTTGCCACAAGACGCCTGAGTAAATATAATTTTCGGCCATTAGCAAACATTAATCGCCTTTCCCTTTCATGTATGATCGTGGGATTAAATAAGTAATAAGGTGAAAATATTTATAATCCTCCCAAAACTAATACCTGGATAAACAGTCTTAAGTCGTCACTTATCTAAATGGTCGCATTTTTATAAAAAAGTGTGCGTGATGTAGGATAAAATAAGAGTGAAAATAGTTTAAGTTGAAAAATATTGTTCACAGAGGTATTGTTTGTAAATTTTACTAGTTGTTGATGATAAATGTTTTAAGTTCTGAACATTTTTTAATAATTGATCGATTGAGCAGAAGACCAATTCGTCTAGTGCGACAACGCCTTAAACAAACAAGATATGAGAGCTTGAACGAGCTTCTAAGACCAACCCACATTACTAACTTACAACGCTGATTGGTTGGATAAGGATCACCCCACTCTGGTTGATGACATGTGCAAGTTTCCCTCAACCGTTACTATAAAAGAGCGTGCACAACCCCTCAACCTGGAGTGGACTAGCGGAGTAAAAAGCATATGAAACGTTAGAGAAGCTCAACCTTTACAGAACCAACAACCAAGACAAGAACCCAAAAACGACGAAGATCTGAAGTGAAAAGAAGAGCATCCAGAAAAGAAACAAACATTAATGAACATTAGTTAACCGTTGTAAAAGATGTCCTACCTCGCGTAGAAAATAAAAGATATATAACATTATATAATAACGTAAAGAATTCAAGCAATTTCATTGGTCGAGAGCCATGATCTATAAGAGGACAGACGCACGGAATGACGTCACAGCAATTTTCTTGTTTTTAAATTACAAACAAATAATTCAATTGATTTTGGATTTTTTTCAGTTTTATTATATAAAACAAATAGATTACAATGAACTGTTGTCTGTTCAGTTATAGATACACGGTATGACGCCATATGTGATAAAAACAAAAGAGTGAGTCTGAGTGACCACTCGCCTAGGCGGCTCGTGGCCACTTTTTTTGTTCTTATCACATATGACGTCATACCGTGTATCTATAACTGAACAGACAACAGTTCATTGTAATCTATTTGTTAAATAGAATAAATTATAAATTTTCTGAAGTAAAAACAGGGATGATGCGACTAAATATTGCCGTTATATAGGCTATAACTGTTTTCACAGTTCCCGTGTACTGGCAAACTTGGAAACTCATTATGTGATGCATGTATATTATATTGTAAACTGACATCACATTGTGTTCCATTTCAGTTCAAGTACCAAGCCAGGTTTGAGTCGTGGACAAATCACTCAACAACGTGAACAACGATGTAGTAGTAATTAAATGAAGAATTGCGCTGTTTAGCAACCGAAAATGAATTAACCTGAGGGTGCCCTTTTTCTATGAAGAAGTGCCCCTGAAAGCATGTGCCCTCCCAACTTTAACTTGCTTCCTACGCCACTGTGTAAGTTGTATCGAGTGCTGCAAACTTAAATGCATGTCGATGGCAATCTTATGATGGGGCGTCAACAATGAGTGGTCATCTAAGTGGGGTTGCGGCTCGAATACAGGCTGAAAACCCTGCAGCTCATCGTATTCATTGTGCAAATCACAGGTTGGACCTAGCGTTAAAATCACCGATGGCCAAATTGTTCTCAAGCCAAAGAACAACTTTTTTATCAAGTACAAATGCATATGGCATTAACCAGTAGGCAAATGAATTTAATAAAATGTATTAATTTAATGAATTTAATTCTTCATTTAATTCATTTTCGGTTGCTAAACAGCGCAATTCTTCATTGGGGTGCAGCTTTTAAATGGCTTTAATAATAGTATATTATATAATGATAAAATTATCTATGTATATATAGTATATTATGTATAGTATATAGTATATCTCGTTATTTGCATGAATTTACTATTTTAACTTATATCAGCTCTATATATGATAACGTATTATAAAATAACATGTATATAACGCGTGTTCTGATTGGTCGAAGCCCGCATTTGGATCAGGCCGTCCAAACGCGCGAATTTAATTCGAGTATTGAAATAAAACTTGAAAGACTACTCAGTGATGTTGTTGTTATTTTATAAAACAATTACTTTATGGTTACAGTCTTCACGCGCTTTTCTTAACGCTTGCAACATTCCCCCGTGTTTAGATCAAGTATACAAACACAGAAACCATTAAATAATTTTTAGTGCAGTAAATTATAAATTTATAATAGAATAATTTATAAATTTTCCGAAGTAAAAACAGGGATGATGCGACTAAATATTGCCGTCATATAGGCTATAAATGTTTTCACAGTTCCAGCATGCTGCCAAACTTGGCAACTGATTATGTGATGCATGTATATTATATTGTAAACTGACATCATATTGTGTTCCATTTCAGTTCAAGTACCAAGCCAGGTTTGAGTCGTGGACAAATCACTCATAGAACAACGATGAGCTGGGTTAACGCAGTTATTCTGATATCGACCAAAGTTATCCTCGCCGTTGCCATTTCTTCCATCATCGCCACATGGAATACTGGAGGGATAATAACTGCAATTTTTGTTATGGCTTCTGAAGGAATCGTGATGAAATGGTCTCGTTTGTTGATCATCTCTTTGAATTAAAAAAGCACTGCAATTTGTCGCGCCGCTAGTAGAGCACTCGTTTCCGCGAACATTTACGAACTCAACATTCATGCATTTACTAGCACTCACAGTTAAAATATCAACTTGAGTTTTTAAGCCTTCCATATAATCAGTCTTGTTGAGACCATCTATGTCATATCGACAAGTCATTCGCCATTTTGAAGAATCGTTCTGTATGGAGTGCATTCTAGCCTTCGACAGGCGGTAATATTCCCAGTTTGGGGTTGTGGCATTTTTAGGATCGTTTCTAATAAAAGGATTCTGAAACTCTGCTCTCTTTCCAAATTTATAGGACTGGATGAGTGTCCAAGATACTGTAATATTATCAGCTGACTTAACGAAATTGCAAAATACTGAAAAGGGTTGATTCTCGTCATCCACGATAATGTAATGCCACGATAATGTAATGCCCCTGGAGTATGCATCGCCATCGTGGGCTACCTTGTCATCCGCATTGTCAGATGAAATTGAATCTATCCAACGGCGTGCTCTCAAAATTATTTACCCGACGTTGTCATATGCTGATGCGCTTGTTGTTACAGGACTTGATAATTTGATAAATCGTAGAGACATGGCTTGCAAACTGTTCGTTCATAGGTTAAGGGAATCCAAGACACACTTTTGTAATCCATTAGAATCTATTGTTAAAGTAGAATCCCAAGAACCCGCTCATGATTATTATCTACGAAATCAAAACAATATTCGATCTCCACCGCTTATATGCACTGAGCGGTTTCGTAACTTTGTTACAGTTAAGTATAATATTTAAAAAAATAATATTGAACTACAATATTCAATTCCATTTTAATCTAGCTAAGTATGTAAATAAGTCATTTTACCGTTGTATATAACTTCTCAATTAGGCCTACCTATGTAGACTATATTGATGATTATTTTATAAATTATTAATATTCTGTAACACTTTACAATATTTAATACCCTATGTAACGATAATCGTGTAATTCAGTTTGTACTGCGATACGATTTTAATAAACTAATAATAATAATAAAGAGACTGGTGGGTCATAGCTACCACTAACGTATCTACGGCATGACTTGATTGGCTGTTCACAATGGCTTCCGTGATAGCCTGGGGCACAGTCACATGTGAAACGTGGCGAATGCAGGATGTCAGAAGGATAGCTTGGTTTACACACTCCAGCGTTGAGACAAGGTTGTGAGGTTAGACAACAGTTTGTGTCTTGAAGGCAGTCCTTCTTTGAACCGTTCTAAATTAAGAATTTCAAACGCATTATAATATTGCGCGGAAACCTAATGTTAGCCTGAAAATTATGAAGATCTATTTGAATACTCAAGACAAGATAAAGTCAATGGACTGAAATATTGCCCTCATAAATAATTACTGTTATACAAAACATGTATTGATGAAACCAGACCTCACAAACAAGTTGTTGATTTCTTTTGAAGGCGAAATAGCTACATTCTTCCATTTTGTCTTCCATCTTGAGAGACACGTTATGAGACAAACACAAACTACAAGTCTTATCTTCGTCACACATCCGGAGCGCCCGACACGTGCAATTTTTCAGACACTTTGCAAGACAACTTCCAATCGTCGTCTCTGATGTATTTTGAAAACTACAGTTATAAGGAATTTTGTCTTGAATCGCTGTCACTCTGTAAAGAGCTTCATTCTGTACGATGTTCAACATTATCACTACGAAGCCGATGAACGATCTAAAAACATTATTAATATTATTGAAATTTTTTTAGGTTATCTTTCGAATTTTCCGCATGGCATTGATTCACATACATATATGATCCATTGAATTGCAAACTTGCTGCAATAACTCATCATCGATCTTTTAAACGTTTATACCCACAAAAACGTTTGCTTTCCAATTGCGGTCAACATCTCGTGGATTTATATGTTGAATGCTTATTCATACCTGTAATTTAACTACTATAATTTAACGAGCGACAAGAGATGTTGAGGACGATCAACAAAATCTATTTAATATTACCTGATTCCCTTCAGCATCCTGCGAGAAACTGTGGAGAAATTCTGACTTTTTTCGTGACTTCGCGTGAAGAAACCGTACTCCCTACCTGATGTGTGATATATTTCAAAATAAGTAAAATTTGGAATTATTTCGTCAACTTCATAAATATAAATTAGGAATTTACTGCTGATAAAAAGTTGTTGGAATTTTTCCACTCACAATCTCCTAGTTTTAGACAACACCATGTATTTCGTGATTTCTTGTTGTTATGACACGAGAAAGTTCTCCTCAGAAATCTACATAACAACGATGGGGATGCTGTAGACAATAACTATGACTGATTGACGGAGAGATTGAGTAATTTTAATTTTCATCAATCTTCATGATACTGCAGATGTTTTTGGAAACTTTGGAGTAAGGTCATCAGAAAACATCAGATCCTCTCAGAGGAAGTTAAATTTTCGAACTATATTTAGACGCACATCGGAAAAATTTCAGAAGGGTCTTACGTTCAGGACCCGATATTAATTGATTGCAGTGTGTACATGTTTCTATTTGATAAGAAAAGCAATATTACAATTGTTGAAACAGCTATTTTGTGATTGGTTGTCTGACTTGTCTCACTGTTTATCTCGATTAGTTTTCTCAGATTCACAAAATAAATGTCGTTGTTGACCAATTTTATATTGTTGACTGTTTTTACAGTGTAGAACCTGAAGATTTTTAGCGTAACGGACAAATATCTTCCCGACGACGAGTGGTGAAAGCGCTGCGAGCCCCGAGGAAAGGGTTCGAGGAAAATTTTGAAATTAACACCCATCACTCGCAATATTGGCCAGTTTTTGGCTGCAATTTTTTCTTATGGGCTGCCCCTTTTGACTTTGAGCTACTGAAATTGTCCGCTGTCTGCTCGCTACAAATATAATTAATATCAAATTCCAGGAGAAGGCTGGTTTTCCGTCAGGAAAATTACCTAGCTCCGGACCGTATCGGAGAGAAAAGCTACTTTTTTATCCATGTGTCCACGAACAAAGAAACCATACCGTTCGATCCAATCCGGAGGATAATTTTCCCGACTAAAAACGAGCCTAGAATAAGATATTTTCAAGCCAAGGTTTGGGAACAACAATCTCTAGTTTCTTTGGCAGAGAGGGAGAACATTTTTAAATTACGATTGCTGCAGATTCACGGAGATAACAATTTCATAAACACACATCTTTTAGTTTGAGGCAATAGTGCATGTCTTAGCCACAAATTTTATTGAAAAACGGCACAAGAATAAATTAAATGAATGATGTCTTTCAGATTAATTCCTGTTATGGATTTACAAATAGCGAGTTATTTATAATATACACCGCACGCGGAGACAAACCCACTACTAAATTATGAATCAGGATTTTAATATAGAAACGATAAAAATATGCACGCAATAATAATACTCATTACTCATTGCATATGTGATTGGAGTAGTTTTAGACTACACCATGTATTTCGTGATTTCTTGTTGTTATGACACGAGAAAGTTCGCCTCAGAAATCTATAAATAATTTTCCTCTCTTCCTGTGTTAAAATAATCCGTTAAACGCAAAGTGTTATTAATGACATCTTGTTGAAATTTAATGTCATTTTAGAGACACTCTCCCATTAAACTGTCATGATTAAAATTTTTCCACAGCGGGAGAGAGCGACAATTTGTAGCTTTCCGATGACAACGTTCTCGTGTCGACGTGTCCTAACCACAGGAAATTGTGGAATAATTTGAGGTTCGAAATAAAAATTATATCCATAAATTATAATGATCATTTACCTTTCATCTTAACTTTAGACATCTTCAGACTAAATATATAAGTCGAGAAAATTACATATAAGACTGAACGATGGCTGCGGGTCGTAATTTTTCACAATTTCGTATGAATCGAAGCAAAAAGATAAGATTTTGAAGTCGTCGTTAACATTGTATAAAACTCAATGTACAAAAATGTAATATGATCGTAGGTAAACAACGATGAGGATATAGACAGTGACTAGGACGATTGACTTACAGACTGAATAATTGTAATTTTAATTTTTCATTAATCCTCGCAATACTGCGGGTAGGGTCGCAGCTCCTCGCAAGAATGATTTTCATGCATAGGCTGAACTTTGCAATACATTTCTGTTTCAACTAATAGCATAAATTCGTTCTTTAGAAAGCATAGAAAAGCATTATTCAATTGGACGAAAGCTTCGGAGCACTGCTACAGGATTTTGTCGTAACGTTTACCGCCATTGCAAAAAATGTAATCTAATCGTAGATGACAGGGATATGCTGTAGACAATAGTTATGACTGATTGCATTACTTACAGACTGAGTGTAATTGTAATTTTTATCAATCATCACAATGCTGCAGATAATCTTTGAGACTTTAGGTAAGACAGGATCATGTGACGTAATTGGTTATCGCTCAATTTGCGTTACCTGCTGAAGGAAGTTAAACGCTGTTTTTGCGGAGCCGCGAGAGACAATTTTACAATCCCTATAAGGAAGTACGGTAACTATTAGTTAGCATGATTCTATACTCTTTAATTTTATATGTTTAATGCCCTAACAAGTTATACCACGTATGTTATGCTATTAAAAGTACGATCGGTATATACACCGAGCTTTCGGGAATTTAATGTACATATTAATAAATATAATATTACGAATTATGAGTAGGATTTAAAGCAAATGCCGGAGTTAAAGCTTTCGACAATAACTTAACGGAGTATTTTTCAAACAATTTTTTAATTCTTCTATGGCATATATAGAACAATATTGACTTCGACATTGTATTTATAAGAAAGTACTAATTTCCGATATCATATTTTTCTCAGCCGATTCTATGTCAGTGCCAAGTGGCAATCAGGCGAAAACGTCTTTGAACATGCAATACCCCACAGTCACGTTAGAAACATATACTGTATCGATAATCTGAGAGTTAGAGCGTACTTTTCTGCGACGCTTAATAGATAGTCTTATTATAGGGTGGATTTCCACCTGCAGAGAAATAATTCCGGTAGAAATATTGCGGGTAACCTTTTGAATCACATACGCTTGAGCATGTGACGTTATAATGTTAACATTTTTGTTAATGATCGTTAAGCGAAATAACCACATTCCGAACGTACATGCATCAACAATCTGTAATTACTGCTAGTTTTAATTCTAATTTTAATCCTAACCTGACCCTAACTCCTACGACGCTTCATGACGTCATGATCTCAGATAAGCTGGAAAGATTCGAATCTACAAACATGAAATTATTCATAAATAATCATTAAACATTTACTCTTGTTCCCAGGCCATTCCTGGGAAACAGGATCATGTGTTGTAATTGGATATCGCTTAAAATAGCGCTACCTGCTGAAGGAAGTTGAACGCTGTTTTTGCGGAGCCGCGAGAGACAATTTTACAATCCCTATAAGGAAGTACGGTAACTATTACTTTGCATGATTCTATGCTCTTTAATTTTATACATTTAATGCCCTAACAAGTTATACCACGTATGTTATGCTATTAAAAGTACGATCGGTATATACACCGAGCTTTCGGGAATTCAATGTACATATTAATAAATATAATATTACGAATTATGAGTAAGATTTAAGGCAAATGCCGGACTTAAAGCTTTCGACAATAACTTGACGGAGTATTTTTCATACAATTTTCTTATTCTTCTATGGCATATATAGAACAATATTGACTTCGACATTGTATTTTTAAGAAAGTACTAATTTCTGATATCATATATTTTTCTCGGCCGATTCTATGTCAATGCCTAGTGGCAATCAGGCGAAAACGCCTTTGAACATGCAATACCCCACGGTCACGTTAGAAACATACACATAAAATATCTTAGAGTTAGAGCGTTTTTTCTGCGACCCTTAATAGACTATTACAGGGTGGATTTCCACCTGCAGAGAAATAGTTCAGTAGAAATATAGAAATAACATTTGCATATTTTCTATTGAATTCAGAACAGTCAGGTTGATTTATGCTGTTAAAATTCGAAAGAAAATGTGCAAATATTTCGCTGGGGAACCATTTCTCTGTAAGTGGAAATCCAACCTTAGAGAATCCGTTTTTTGAGAAGCAAAGTCGGCTTGGCTTCTGGAAATTCAATTTCATTTCATGTAAGTGCAACTTAAGCTTTTTGGTATTCAGTCAACGACACAGGCAACAACATATTTCCACTAAATGCCGCATGTGACGTTTCCTGTCAGTTCATTCAGGGTGTATACGATATTTTTTTCCCCCGATATCGGTAATATGGCTATATATAGTGAAATGCCTTAAATGTATATTATCGTTGTATATATTAGATGTTAATATGTGCATGCCTCTCATTTCAAAAGCTGTGATGTTGTTAATGACCGTATTGTAATATATTTTATCCATTAATATTTATGACTTTGATAATACAGACCAATATTGCCACTGTGAGATATGACAGACTGCGTACATGCGTTTGGGTTGAATTGTTTCTTCTTTTTCATCTTCATCTTCAGGAAACAATTTTTGTACGGGATCTTTCGCTTTCGTGAAAACTAGGTTACAGAAAATGATATTTTTTGCAAAAAAATGTTCTCATAACCTTCTATATGAAAACAAGTTACAAAATGAAATGAAATAGGAGGAAATAATACGTTTGGGAAATACTGCACGAGTATGAATTCATTTTGATTGCTTTCATAGTATAGTTATTTACCGCATAAAATTGGATTTTTATTGGTAATTTAAGTGACAGAGCGCATCTTCAATAATACTAACGGTTAGTTTTAACTGGAAGAGCGGGTATCGTAATTATATTCACCCTCTAACAGCAGAGTTATTTTAACTAGAAGAGATATTGAATTTAGGAAGTCAATGCAATTTATGTCTGGATTACAAAAAAATGATCACATCAAAAAAGGGGGAGTGCCTCAAATTACTGCATGAAGAAAGTAAATCGCTACATACGTTATGTAACAACATACTGTATAATTATACATATAAATAATTGATTGTGACTAAAATATATTCTTCTCGCATGGTATGCATTGTCATCGATTTCGGTATAAAATGGCAGGATATAAGTGTTTCAGCAGACAGACTGAACTGAAAAACGGCAGAGCTATATACGCATTATCTCGCATTATATACATACGATGATATTGAAATACATATACTTAAATTATGGACCAGTTGAGCTACAACTGTTGTAAAAGCTAAGGCTCACTTTTTTTTAATTTACCTTTTTTAGCCCCAATATTTCTGCTTTGAATATTCTCAAGTAAGGGCCATCGTCGACATCGGAAATGTCTTACCTACAAGAAACGTTTGAAGAACGCTGTCACACCACAGGAGCACCAAGTCACCTTTCGTTTTTCACCGCATCAATATCGATTCTACTTTTAGTTACAAATATCCCTGGGAACCTCCTTCTAATCCTTGCTGTAGCCTTTGATCCTCATAAAAACCTCCGGAGCCCGTTTAACTATCTCATGTCAAATCTAGCCGTCGCTGACCTCATAGTTGGTTTAGTGACTGGACCGTTGTCAGTCAACTATCATATTAAGGAAGGTCTGTATGGGCGGCTATCTATTGGGGAAATCAGACTGTTTCATATGAGTTACTTTGTGTCATGCACGGCGAGTATTCTGAGCCTTGCGTCACTGGCAACCGAACGGTACCTCGCTATGAGAAATCCCCACAACTATCGCAACAAGTTAACCCGAAAGAGAATCCTCATGACCGTCATTTTAATATGGCTCGTATCCTTCACACTACCTTTCATATATTTTGAAGTGGGGTCTATAACTTGTGCATTTATACTGGCAAACACTGCAGTCTTTCTAGCTCTTGGTATCATGTGTTTCACTTACGGTCTGATGATATACAAATTCAAAACCTATAAAACTCGTATCCAGAGCGCGCAGAAGGCAAAAAAGAAAAATAATGATCTGTGTTGCGTGGTCAGTAAAGATTACCAGGACAACAGTAGGCATGGTGAAAAGACGAATAGACACGACGTCATCAGCAACGACAACGACTGTCGCCGTGACAACACGGTTCGCATGGAAACCAAAGTCACAAAAATGTTTCTGGTTGTCATGGCAGCAGTGCTTGGCTGCTATGGTCCTTCCGCCATATTTATTTACACGATGAGTTTTTGCGAAACATGCAGCTGTGAGGCTTTGCACTGGTTTAGAGATTTGCAGTTCTTGTTTGTGCTTCTCAATTCGTCTGTGAATTTCTTTTGCTATGGTTTAAGGTCGCGAAGGTTTCGGAAGGCGTTTGCAACAATCTTGAGGTTACCAAATTTGCAGGAAATTCCATGACTATGTCAACTCCGTCTTCAGAAAATCGAGGTTACCAAAAAAGCCTAAAGATCAAAAGTGCTGTTCTGATGTTTAAACTTTTATTTACGATTATCAAATCATAATTATCACGATAAATAAGCACAAGCAGACCGTTTCCCAGTCTTCCTTAGCTCACTTCACTACCGAGTTATATTCAATTAAAAAATGTAAATAGATAAACAGCCATCTCTTCTTATGTTAGGGCTTATCTTAACTGACACTGTTGTTGAAACTCCTCGGTCTAGTAAACTATGTCTATAGCTATCTATTTTGAAATATTTAACTCGTAATCTTTTCTAAAATATTTTGCAGCTTTTTATGCATGTTCTTCTTACGTTAACTGTATGAGGCTACAAAGTAAACATAAAAAAGCAGTAAATTTTCAAATAAACTTTAACTGAATATTAGTTCTAATTGTAGCTTGTCGATACTGATAGGACATTTCTAATGCAGCGAGTTTGATTAAGTATTTAAACTGGCAAGCAGCGTACCGGTAAGTTCCATCAACCATGTTCCACGGTCCATGTTCCATGAACAACATACCGAAGCAACCGCCGGAAGTTGTTTTTGACCTGCGATTACTGGGCATGTCTTTTCCGGGATTGATTTTCTGCGGAGCTCACCAGCTAACCCACTTATTCCAGGCTGAGGCATAGGCACTGGTGGTATTTCTTCTCCATGCCGCAAGCAGAATTTTTCTAGTTTCCTCTGAAATGTCTTGTGCCAGATGTTGTAACATATGTATTCCCTCGATTTTGAAATGCTCGTACATAAGATACTGATTTAAAGTGTTACTGCAACGAAATTTTTGACCCTATTTTTATTAACCTAAGCAAATATTCAGCCTTTTAGCAACAATTTGATGTATATAATTTATGACTTTGGTGTGTTAAGTAGAAGTTGACTAATTTTGTCCCAAAACGTCGCTATCAAATGCGAACTTTTATAGCCGCCATGTTTGCTGCATGTGACGTCATAACGAGTACCGATGTTTCGAAGCTTATGGTAATATACAGGGTGTATCAAAAAAAGGTAATCCAACTTTGGCGCACTATTGTACGTGAACTACTCATTCTAAATTTTTTTCACATCCCGACAGGTTAGGCTTTTAACTATCGAATGACATGTGTTTGGCACTGCTACTTTAAACGCAAGTCTAACCGGAATTTCTTTAATATTTAATTTATTTAAACAAAATGGTAGAGAAATTTATTCGAACATTACTATAAATACATAATAAATCGATATCATATACTTTTTATAATGCATGCACAATACAAGAGGAAAAAAATAAAATTACGCATATAAACTTAAATATAAACTAGAGAAATAAAACTACTTTATCTAATATTAGAGTTCCATTCCGACTTTCTTTAATATTTATTGGTAATTTATTCTATAGAAAAGATTAAGTTTAGGTATATAAGTAAAAGGTATAAAGATACATGCATTCCAATCATTTTCTTAGTTCATACGATGAATCAAACTAAACTTAAAGTGCCTATATCACTTGTGGGATTTTTACAGATTTGAATAGAGCTTGAAAAATTAGTTTATAAATTCTACAACCCTTGATATAGTTAAGTAGTTTCGGAAATATTTACATCTAAACATGACGGTTTCCCTAAATTTCCGTCGTGCTCGGAGACCTGGGACTCAGGAACCGAGTTCTTGCCAAACATAATATAATCAATTGTAATTTTACTTCGATCTTCCAATAAAATATTTCGAGAAAAACTCACCCTGTTGCTACAGCCATACACAACGCACCGTTCCCGCATTATTTTCTTGAAAAGCGCAACTATATCGCCAGTGAAACTCTTCATGTTTACATTATAAAAGACGCGTGTTTGCAAATCATTCCTGAGTCCCAGTCCCCCCAACCGACGTATTTTCGAAACTATTTGATTATATCAAAAAAGTTTGTAGAACTTATAAACTAATTTTTCAAGCTCTATTCAAATGCGTAAAGATCCCACAAGTGATATAGGCACTTTAAACATAAACACTAATCAAACTACAAACATACATGCAAACAGATAAATTTCAGTATCTGAAGGGTGGGTCCCCGTAGGACTTTGTCTATTACAACTATTTCCAAATCAACCGTTCGTTCTGTCTCGCACTTCTCCTAACGCTTAACTGATTAGCAGTCACTCGTACAGTATCTTTTATTAACCTAATAACTAACATAACTAGATATATTACATTAAAATTAAGATTATGATGGAATGTTGCTGGCTATTCAAACCAACATGTTTTTGATACCAAATGGTTAAAAAATGAGAAAATAGGAGGCTGATAAAAAGTGTTATTTAAAATCGCATATTTTCACCTCTGAGAGTTAAGGCGGATTTCCACTTACAGCGAAATCATTCGCTAGCGAAATATTTGCATATTTTCTTTTGAATTCTGAACAGTCAAGTCGCACTAATTTATTTATGCTGTTAAAATTCAAATGAAAACATGCAAATATTTCGCTAGCGAACCATTTCGCTGTAAGTGGAAATCCGCCTTTAGACTAACACCATCGAATATTAACTCTCTTTGGGACTTAATTGAAGAATTTTGCTTTTGAATAAACTACAGGGTGTCCCAAAAAAAACGAAAACTATTGAAATCACTCATTGTTAAAATTTGAATGCCGTGTTCACGAATTTCAGCCCGTGAGGATTTAATACAACTTATAAAATGCTAAATGCTTTGTGTAGAGAAAGGGGACATGTCGAAGGTCATGGTCCTTGAGATGCACATTTAAATATTGTTATCCATATTTGTAAATTGTAAATATTGTTAATAAATATCATTTTTGCGAACAAGCAAATTTGACTGCTCAAAGAGGGGAATAAATCGCGAGATGTTCACATGTCAATTTGCGGAGCTACAGTTTCCCAATTCCCAAAAGCCAGCGATTGCGCTCTCATAACCATTATCCCATCAGGTAACTACAAAGCTTTGTGAATATATTAATATCTTATTCGTTGTGATGATTTTGTGAAGTTAATTTGCATCGTGAGTGGAAAATCTGGTTAAATTAATATTCATGTTTGATATGTATACAATAATAGCATTGCGTTTATAGGATCAATGCACGTGTTTATATTAAAGCCGCTATTATTAATATTTTCCTAAGGTTGGTCTGCTAATAGAAATAGTACTAAAGTCGTTACTGTCGTTAGAAATTTGCCTGAATCATTTCCTAAGCTTTGTCCATCTAGTTTTAATAGCTATGAGTTTATGAATAGGAGTTTGCTCTAAATTTTGACTGTGAAATATGAAATGCTCACGATGGGAAATATGATACCACTATGCCCAATGAAAAACCTTAACATTATATAAGTCTAGTCAATGACTGCTGAGAGTAGAACTACCTTTAATTTACTGCAACTTCCAAATTTATCAATTTGATAAGAATATATAACATAATCATAATAATTTTTTAAGTACGCGTTTTAAAGCCGGGAAAAATCTGCTTTGCTAAGAAAAGCCGAAAATTTTGGTAAAAAATATATCAGAAAAAGTACGCTCAAATCGCGGGAAATGGCATCTCCGGGCTTCCAGTTTCAAAAATTTTCCGGGGGGGCACGCCCCCGGACCCCCTAGTTATGCGAGACCTAGTCCGTGATACAGTCAGATTTTCGGCCAGATCCGCCCCTGACTTGTGGGCCCAACAGAGTGCTTAGGCATTCAAACTCTAACAATGGCATTGTTATAGGTGATTTCAATAGTTTTCGTTTTTTTTGGGACACCCTGTAGTACCCACAAATGCATAAAGTAGGAATAAATCACATCAGGAACATTCTAAGCGATGCCGCGTAAAACCAGTGCAAGCTGTGACATGTTCGTGATTAATTGTTTTTTTTGTTATGCACTGCTTTAATTAGGCTCAATGGTGAAAATATGCGATTGCGACTAACATTTTTTATCAGCTTCGTATGTGCTAGACGATTCCTAGATAGGTGCGGATCTAGGATAAATCCAGTCAGTCGCGCAACTTACGTGCTTTTCGCAGCTAAGTGACAAATATTCAATTCTGTCTTTAAATTTCAACAATTAACTTCCCTCAGAATTGTAATGAGAAATTTATACCATGGTCCAGTTTGAAGAGTTATTCCTTTATCTGATAGCAACGCTAAATCGCAAAAAACTCGCAGAATCAGGGGGCAGGACTTGCTCACTACCACTGGGTTGTCACGACAACTTCGGCAATCGTCGGATATACGAAATTTGAGGAAGGGTATGTTCGACACTACTTCCGGAAAACTTCGTAAGTTGTTTAACCAAGATGAATATAGTTGATAGTTCGAAGCATATGAGGGTTCAAAGGATTAAACTATACATTTGTCAAATTTTAAAGCTAAGGTGAGTACCTTAAAGTTTGTGTCTTTTTTGTGACATTTTTTATTTTAATTGCTCGTTTTTCTACTGTGAAATTTCGATCACAATCGCATTATTCTGAAACGTGGCGAATGCAGTATGTCAGAAGGATAACTTGGTTTACACATCCAGCATTGAAGCAAGGTTTTGAGGTCAGACAACAATTTGTGTCTTAAAGGCAGTCCTTCTTTGCATCATTTCAACGATGTACGTGAACGACCAATCACATGCATGCAGTCATTTCTGATTTCGATTATCCCAGAGCCTTTGTTTCAATGTTTCCTCGCCAGAGAAAATCGCGGGCTCGGGATCAAGATTGCTTTGGAACCATAGAGCTTATAAATAATACAGAATAATAATAGACAATGGTGTTAATGTCTCTATGTTCGGAACCGATCTAAACGCTACAGGAACCGAGCGGGCGATTACTGTAGTACCTCTGGTACGGAATTTTTAAACTCTTATATTACAGTAGTTTAAAAGAAAAAGCTTTGAAATTCAAACTGATTATTGGACATTGTATATAGGTTGTAGTAACAAATGTAGATGTGATCTAAAACTTTCATTTATAAAAGTTTTCGTTCATTGAAGAAAGACAGCGG